TGAGTGCTGGCCTTAAGTTTTTTTGTTTAAGGATAGTAGTCTACCACTTGAGCCACAGCTCCACTTCTGGTTTCTTTTAGTGGTTAGTTGGATATGAGTCTCACAGGAATTTCCATCTCAACCTGGCTTCGAACTGTGATCCTCAGATTTCAGACCCTTGTGTAGATAGGATTATAGGCATGAATCACTGATGTTCGGCCTATTTTGTTTAATTAATTAATTAATTTTTATCGGTCGTAGGGTTTGAACTCTGGGCCCGGGCACTGTCCCTGAGCTCCTCAGCTCAACGTGAGGACTCTACCAGTTGAGCCACAGTTCCACTTCTGGTTTTCTGGTGGTTTATTGGAGATAAAAGCCAGCTCAGGCTGGCTTTGAACTGTGATATTTAGATCTCAGATTCCTGAGTAGCTAGGATTACAGGCCACTGGTACCTGGCTTATTTCCTTTATTTATTTATTTTATTTTCTAAAGTTCATTTTTCTTTCCTTGTTGGTTAGGGGGCCTGAACTCTGGGCCTGGGCACTATCCCTCAGCTCTTCAGCTCAAGGCTAGTGCTCTACCTCTTGAGCTACAGCGCCACTTCCGGCTTTTTCTGCTTATGTGGTGCTGAGGAATCGAATCCAGGGTCTCATGCATGCAAGGCAAGCACTCTACCACTGAGCTACCTTCCCATCCTTTTCCTCCTTTATTTTTGAGAGTAACTTTTTATGCTTTTACTGGCAATGAGAAGTCTTTAATAGAAAAAAGAAAAAAAGTCTTTGAATATTTGTTTAATCTTTCAAAGAGTTTAAAACATATTTTATGTAAAAAGTTTCTGATATAGTAGGAAATACTTTTTTTTTATGTTATACTTATATGCTTTAGAATTCAGTATGTCTTTTAAATGTTTCATTAAAATGCTGTATTATCTAGGGCTGGAGATATGGCTGAAGTAGTAGAGTAGTAGTAGAGCATCTGCATCGCTAATACTACCATAAAAGAATTATGTTCTATTTATTTACTTTTCATATTTTTACTATTCTGTTTTGTTTAAGTTAGGGATATAATTCAGTTTGAATAACTTTTATATGTCATGAATATATATATTTCATTTGGTTGAATATAGACTTTTAAAATACCTATTTTTGAATATTTTGCAGTTATAATTTTGAATTTATTTAGTCAGGTCTTTCTCCTTTCTAATCTTCTCTTCAATTAAGAGGCACTTCCTATTAAACATATTTGTTAAAATTTAAATTTCGGTGTGCCTTTTCTTTTCCTTCTGTTTTTAGATTTTCTATTTGATTGTTTCCAAAAACAAAATGAGACATTTTCCTATCTTCTGAATAAGTGCTGTTATTGGAAATAGTTGAGGATGAGCAGTTCAGGTACAGGTACTATGTTGCATGTATTGGAAATGATGCCCATTTTCACAAAAACTCTGGCTGCTTTCCAGAAAAGGGCCAACCTATTAATTTCTAGAATTAACTATTTTGTTTCTTGTTTTAAAAAAACAAAATACTTATTTAGGTTGAAAACCATCTTATCAGATATTGCCTTCTACTGGGCATTTGGTGAAACTACAATTGACAAATTGACATCCTTGTCTTTTTTTTTTTTTTTTTTTAATATCAGCTAATTTAGACCTATATGAGACAATATATCAAACAGGTAAATGCAACTTGACAGGGCTATTATCTTTCCTACTTATTATTTCAAAATAACATCAAACTGAAGCCAAGATATCACATAATTGAGATACCTAACTATAAATATTTTTGTTCTTCACCCAGAGATAAGTCTTAAGTCAAAAGTAATCCCATAGATAGGCATTATTTTTTGGAGATTTTTTTTTTCTCTGTAGCCTCTGCCTCAATAGAGGATCTCTGAATGTTGGGATTATAGGTGAGAACTACCATACTCAGTAGGTGTTTGTTTCTAAAGTCCATTTCAAGTCACAGAAGCCTGTTTGCAAGTTCTTTGGTAATTTTGAAAACTTTCATCCCCACGCCAGCTTTTGCCATGTTTTCCTCTTATTAGTAGTATTATTTTTTGTTGGTTGTGAGGCTTGAACCCAGGGCCTGAGCACTGTCCCTGAGCTCTTTTTGCTCAAGGCTAGTGCTTTACTGCTTTGAGCCACAGTTCCACTCCCATTTTTTTGAGTGGCTAATTGGAGATAAGAGGCTCACAGGGATTTTTCTCCTCACTCAGCTGGCTTCGAATTATGATCAGATCTCAGCCTCCTGAGTAGTAAGGATTACAGATATGAGTCACCAGGCCTGGGCTCCATGTTTTCTTATTTAATGAATTAATACTGAAGTTGTATTCAGTACTCTGTGTTGGCTATCATAATAGCCACTGGGCTTATAGTTTAGATGGAACAAAAGATAGAATTCAATAGATAATTGTAAGAGTGATGAACTGCTAAAAGAGCAGTGTCTATAAACAGTATCAGTGGGAATGTATGAGTGAGAAGTAATAGATGGAGGAGGCTAGCCAGTTTATGTTGAGTAACTGTTGAGAAGTTTTTGGAATGGTTAACCATGGTGCAAGGTGAATGTGAAGTTATTTTGGGCTGCAGCAACCCTCTGGAGGACTCTAGGGAGTCTGAGCAAGGCCAACGCCTTGTGAGTCTGGCCGTCTGGATTCAGTATGTTACAGATGAAGAAACATTCTAAACTTACTCTAGTAGCTTAAGTCTTGTGAAGTATGCCAGGGCACTAGTTAAGGAGGAAGCACTGATAATAGCACTTGGTGGATTTTCTGCTGGAATTGAGAGAACTTAAGTGATTGGAACTAGCATGAGAGGGAAAATGTGTCTTTCACCATGAGTGAGGATGGATGGTCGGTACCACTGATAGGAAAGAGAAGGGAGTGCAGTCTCATGACAATCACAGAGGTCCAATTTGCTCATGTGTTTGAGATATTGGAGCTGCCAATCAGTCACCTCACTTTTGCTGGCCTTCACAAGGTGATTGGGATTGAGTTAGTAGTTAGTAGTTCCCATGTTCCAGTAAGTGGAAAGAGAGCTTGCAGAGAGAAGTGATAGGGTCAGTTTCAGAAATTCCAGTGTTTGATGAGAGTGAATGAGAAAGTTACTGAAGTAAGCTGAGGTTCCAGGAGAGATGGGAGAGGACAATGAGGGGAGGATGTTTCCTGGAAAGCAGAGGGAGAAAGGTTGCAGGAAGGACCCACAGTGCAGAGCTCTGCTACAAGATCCAACTCAGACCTCCAGTTCTTGGAGAGCAGAAAGCACTGGTAATCATAGCAAGAACAATCTTTGCAAATGGGCAGGTGCCTTCTCAACTTCACATAAAATTTTGAGTCTGCCTAGGAGTGGTTTTCTCTCATTACATTAATGCTCTAAAAACATGTGTTCCCTTTAATAATCCTAATGAGGAGCTTTCAAGAGCTTTTGTGCTCCTTTGCTGTATTTATTTCTCCCAGTTTGTCACTTTAGATTTCTCATAGTACCAACCTCTTTTAGTGTTTAAATCTCTGGTAGCCCATGTTTTCTTCTGTTGTGTTCCTACATCAGCACTAACTGTTCATTTATACAATGAAAGTCTTGACTGCAAGATCTGTTCTCATTTTTGTTGTCTACCATGAAGAAAATTGATTAAATTACTAGAAAAATACTCAAAATCAAAACTGATTTCATTTTCAGTGCTTAGATGATTAAATTCTGCTTTCTTTGTATACTCTACCAACATCTGTGATTTCAAAGGCCAGTATGGCAGTGTGGTATGGATAGAAAAAAGTCCTATGAGTGCTGTCTCTGAGCGGGGCTTATAGTGACCTCAAATGATTCTTAATGTTTCTCCCCCCCACCCCCACCCCATCCCTAGGAAGTTTGAAAGAAGCAGTACAAAACTCTATAACAAAACCCTAGACACACAAAATCCTAGATCATTTCTGATTATTTGCATTTCTTCTGTAAGTCAGATATGTGGATTCTTCCCCGTTGCTTTTGTATTGGTATCCTCACAAAAGAAAGATACAAAGTTGGATACCCAGTTATTAATAGTAGATTAATTACAAGGATTCCTTGTATAGCTAGTCAAAGCCATTAGAATTAGGTAAAGGGTATCACTTTGAAGGACAGAGTAACAAAATATTCTGTATATAGTTTGAAGGATGAAAAAAAAACAAGCCCAGTTTAAAAAAATTATTGCAGAAAATTGGGAGGAGAAGTTAAAAGTGATAAAGTTACCTAGATACCTAATAAAAAACATTGTAAGTCAATAGAATGCTATATGCTACTGGTTTTCCTGCACTTTTCATGGGAATGCAGTAAGAAATAACCAAGAAACTACTTTTAGTAATATGTGACCCATTAGAGTGAAAAAGTGTGTGCCAAGCTAGAATGAATGAATGTGCTAAAAAGATCACACTACATGGAGAGGATCAAGGAAAGCATTTTCTTGGCTCTGTTTTCTTTAGCTGGAGAGCCTGAGTTAATCAGAACTATTTTACCAATACCGTTTGTCTATGGGAATGATAATGGTCCAAATAGTAAGCATTAACTTTCAAAATTAGCCTCTAGCTTGTCCTTATATCATAAAGAGTCTGTCTAAATTTTACTTTTTTTGCGTGTCAACAATGATGGCATGTGTTTATTTTTGTATGGTGTGAATACTCAACTTCTTCAGACTCTACTTTTTAAATCACCCTCTTTCAGGGACCATGGCAATATGTGTGTTTTGTACTATAGAACTCTAGTCTGTATCTTTTGAGAGTCCTAAATTCTTCATGTTACAATCTTCCCTGAAGGTGGCAATGGAAAATACTAGGACCATGGTGGATCCTTCTAGAATGTATATACCCAAAACATGTGGAGAGTATTCTCTTAACATCTCCCATCTCTTTTCCTTTTTGAACTTGAATTTCTTTAATATACTTCCTGATGGATTTAATCTGAAAATAAAATAATACAAGTTTCTTAAACTGTTCAAATGAATCACAATGAGGATGTAATATAGGTCAGATAATTATGTGCTTTTTTTTTTCTTCCTATGTAGGAATGTTGTCTCTGCAATTTGAGAGGTGGTGCTCTGAAGCAAACTAAGAACAATAAGTAAGTAAGATGTTAATTGCCATTGCATTTCATCCTTTTTTCTCCTCCCTGAAACCTCTACAGGGTGGTTTGCTTTACCTTTATCTCATTGCATACGTTGTTTCAAAGCTTACCTATGTAGACCTCAGGTTGCGATTCTGTGCTTCATAGTCCCCTGCTGCCAGCCCCTGAGAGACCATTCTAGCTTTGCTTCTGCTCCATTCTGAAAAATAAGCCCTTCTGTACTAACAGAGACTTTAAAGTGAAGTAGCCCATATTGTCCTAGTACTATTAGAATGCCAGGGTTTAGAGATGAATCCTGTTACTGTAATGAAGGCCAAAATACCTGAAAGCAGTGAAGTTGTTATGTTCAGTTACACTAAATCAGCCATAGTGTTAACAGTAAAACAGTCATTTGCCTTTAGTAACTGGAATGCCAGATCTAGCCCCAAGATGTGTTTCCTTTGGCCTGAACACAATTTTACCAGTTTTATCCAGAGTTTAAAAATTGAGGTTTTACATAAGTATACAGATTTTTTTCCTTTAAGTTGAAAAAATAATTGTGCATCTCTATTTGGGATGAAATTTGCTCTTGGTAAGGCAGGCAGTCCATTGGTCACTATTATTTCCCAGGGTGCACTAATTTGCTTACAACTTGTATGGCTCAAAGGCACTGGAGTTGGGACTCCTGGTATAATGGAATGATAGAGTTAACATAATTATGTTCATGTCCATTTTTCTGATTCCTTAGAAGAAAGGATAATGACATTGATCATTCCTGCATGCATAGAGTTTAAGAAACCAGTGTTGCTTGAACAGGGAAAATCTTTCACAGACCTAGGCAATATGGTTAGCATTATATTAGAAAGTCCTTGCTTGTGGTTGGTTGTTGTACAGTCTGTGTTCATTCAGGCTGTGAGTTGGGTTAGGTGGTTCCTCTAACAAGAAAAGAAATGGTGCTTTTTCTAGAGCATGCCAGGTTTTGTTCAAATGTAGAAGAATGCTGTGGTGGGCCTGACACTTGTCCATAGGACAGAGTTTAAGTGAAATACGTATGCTTTGGCCTAAAAACAAGTTGATATTTTTGGTAAATTTTCACAATCTCGTCAAACCTCACAAGTCTTTATTTACAAGTATAACAGTTCTGAGACACTGCATAGATTTAGTAGTAAAGTTGTTGTTTTACAGACCAGTTCAGAATGTAAAAGAAGATACTAAGTTTTAAGTAGGAGACCTGGGAACACTGAAATTTCATTTCTCTTTGTCTCTGAGTTTGTTTGTTTATAATTTGTCATGAGAAACAATTTAACTAAAACCAGTCAGTATTTTCTTCTAGAAAACTTGCTACTTCATGACTTATATATTATTGAAAAGGTAATATGCAGTATTAGCTTATAGTGTTTGTTTGCTTGAACTATTCTTTTTTTTTGTTTTTGCCACATCATTTAGTTAAGCATGTTCAGCATGCCCACCTTTTAGCCTTAAATGATCCAGGAAACTCACATTTAGCATATTGAGTATAGTAAAATGCTATGAGCAGATCCTGTTCTTTCTCTAGTTTTTCATGTCATAATGTTATACAGGCATGGTGCTGAATCCCTCTTGGTGTCATTCAGGAGGCTTAAAATTCAGAATCTGTTTGTGACGGATTTGGCCTGTTGGCTTTTTCTCACCTGTGTGTTTGTCATTTTGAAATTGCCATCATCATCAGGTTGAAGTATGAAGGTATGTAAGTTTAGGGAACTTTTGTTCATGTTGAATGTCTCCTTTCCTGTAGGTGGGCCCATGTCATGTGTGCTGTTGCAGTCCCAGAAGTTCGATTCACTAATGTCCCAGAAAGGACACAAATAGATGTAGGCAGAATACCTTTACAGAGGTTAAAATTGGTGAGTGGCACAGCTGCTTCTTCTTCTCTTTTAAAAATCTCATCAATTAGTGGTAATTTCAAGTTCTGAATTTTTCTATTAATGCACGCATTCCCTTAGCTTCATTTTATTCCTATCTTTATTTTCTTTGTGCCTAAATTATTTATTTTTATAAATTATTTTCCTGTTATATTGTAATTCCTCAAACTTTATTGAAATGAGGGCAAGGATTGATATATTTCCTGGACTAATGGGAAATTTCAGCTATAGGATATCTAATGAAATTTGTCAGTAATAGACTGAAACTTTCCCAACTCTCTAAATTATTGAAATGTTTTTCTCTTTTACTTCTCTTTGGTTATTCATGACTTAGCAAAAATATATTTAGCCTAATTCATCATCTCTTTAGAAAAGACTTATGGAAAAATGCAAAAGCTTTCATTATTTACTAAGGGATTTTCTCAGTCATATAGGAACAAGCCCCTTAATATTCCAAACTTTGGCCAGTTGTCGTCAAAACTGCTCTGAAACTTTCAGAAAATCTTCTCATTGGTTTCCCTAATTAAGAGTAGTTTTTCATTGAAAGTATAGGCCGTTGACTTCTTTAACATTGAGGCAACTTTGTAGTTTTATTCAATTGTGAACCTTTAGTTTAGGCTATTACATTGCATATTTAGTGAAAACTTTCCCTAAAGTTAAACTGTAACATGCTAGAGCATGTCTTACATGTGCTCTTAAATCCTTGCTATTTTTAACTCAAGGTATTTCCACCATAGAGTATTCCAGACACTATGACTAAAACACTTTCTTCCTGACTGTTGCTTGTTTTCTTTCAACTCTCTTCTGCATGGGAAGCTGAGCATGTTGTTTCTGGGCCTCTCTTTTAGAAATTTAGTCTATATCTTGTTCTCACAGAGGAGTAAGTGAGCACTATAATTTCCCATCATTGCGCCATCAAAATTTTACGCCAAGAGATTCTGTGTGGCCTTTTCATAGAACTGGGGCTGCTCTTGACTAGTTGAGTACTGGGATCAGGATACTCAGGATGTACTCAGAATGTAGTAGCTAAAGAATTGGAGAGTATTGTGGAAATGAACAGTTCAAATGGTTTGTAAGTGATTGTAAAGAGAGGTGACCAGTGTTATTCTTCAGCTACTGGACTTCTATAGGAAAAAGGAATAATAAAAATACCAGATCCCTCAACAGACAAAAAAAATTTCAAGAATTAGAACTATAAGGCAGGATCTGATTAAATGGCCACATATTAAAGAATTAAATGTTTAGTGAATCAAATACTATAAAGGCTTCTTTATAGTATTTACTATAAAAGTAGATTTTATTTGTAAAAGTTCAAGTAATACATTTTGAAATCACACCTAATTTTCTCTCTGGATGCTTATGCACTGCCCTTTAGCATGCATGGCCTGGCTCTTGAGGCTGGCAGTATCCGTGCTGCTCTAGAGAATGCCTCCATAATGATTGAATGTTACACCAGTCCTGTTCCCACAGCAGGGAAGGACAGCGGTAGTTTCAAGCCCATTTAGGGTAATGCATCTAGACATCTGATGATTACATTGGAAAAATCTGCTTCATCTTGATTGTGAATATAACATATTCTTTGTTCAATGCTTTCCATCTTTAAATGATTGACATCTCAAAAAGAATGTGTCCTTACTGAATTTAATTAGCTCATCTGAAGTCTATAAAAATCACTGTACAGACATATGCTGATGCCTGTGACACATAAGGTGAAAATATCAGGCCATCGTCCAGGCATTTTTCTATTTTCTTGTATGATTTTATACTAACAAATATCTTTTTTGAGGGGGATAGGACAGTATTTGTCAGAATGCCCGTAGTGGTTTTTCAATGGAGTTCTACAAGGAGAAAGTTCATTGTAGGCAGGAACGTAATCACCCTGACATGATCTGGGTAATAGAGTCTAAAGCCCAGTCTTCACCAGTAAGAATCCATAGTGATCAGATTTAGGCTGGCTATGATAACATTTATAAACGGTCTTGAGTGAGTAGTAAATGTGGCTTCCCAGGAAATAGGATACTCTGTCATAAACATAGGATCAAATGTGAGTTTTCTAACATGAGGACTACTGCAGCGTGTTGAAGCCTCTTCTTTGTATATCCCACAAATATCACTGTAAGCATTTGGACAAAGACCATTCCAATAATGTCCATGAATATAATATCCATGAAAAATAGCTCATCATTGGCTTCATGTTTCTAACATTTGAACTTCAGTAATCTAAAAATATGTGGCCAGTGTGTGGTGTGGTGCCACATTCTGTAATCTTAGCATTTAGATGACTGAGGTTAAAGATCTAGCACTATTGTCAGTTTAGACCAGTGAACTCTTTGTTGGGTGACCTGTCATGTGCATCGTAGGATTCTGATACCTCTGACCAGACACCAGCAAGTATCTTTTGAAATGCAGAATTGCCCCCATCTGAGAACTGACTGGTTTGCAGGAGTTTCTTACAACATAATGGCTTACAACATAAACTCCTATCTATACCAAGATAGAGAATAAATATTGGATATTGAAGAAACAAATTCCTTAGTGGTTTTAAAAAAATAAATTTTGGACATTTTTGTTGTTCTTATTTGTCAATAAAGTGGGGGAGGGGGTTGGGCAACATATGCATAGTAAGTAGGATTATTAATTATAATTTCATGCTTTAACTTTCCTGTTTGTAGAAATCAAACAACTGATCGATACTAATCAAATTTTACTAAAGATTAATATTCTGTGATGCTTGTATATACACATGTAGGCACTTTAATATTTATGCAATGAATAGAAGGCAGAATACCATTTCTCATTTGTGCTTCTGGTTTAAAATGATCATGATTGGAGGGGCTTGATCAGATACCAGCAAATAGTTTGTACCTTTTTGTGGTTTCTCCTTTAAACATAATGGAAGTTTATTCATCCACATCTGTATCCTTCACTAAACAAATAATTCCATTACTTATTTGCATTCTGGTGGAGATAGGATTACATCTTAGGGTCTGATAGTACTTCAGAGAGCTTGTGAAACACTTGTCTATTGGTTGAAAATTCTGATCTTCGATCCTCCGGTTACTGGAAGATTGGAAACTGGAGTGCATTAATTGGTGCTTCACAGTGAATGAGAACAGCCCTAATATTCAATGTACATATATAAAAACGGAGCCAGGTAACTTGAGATAAGTGGGGTTGGGAAAGAGGAGAAAAATGAAAAATTGGTCAAGATTCATTGTATTTATAACTTGGCATGTTGAACTGAAACTCCTTTGTACAAGTACTTAAAGACAATTTAAAAAGATTGTGATAAAGCAAAAAATCAAGTTGGTCCTTCCAGAAGCAGCAGTGAATTCATCTGTCTTAGCAGATTCCACTAGGTGGTGCTGCTGCATTAGTTTTTCTGTATGTTTCCTTTCAACTACCAATCCTTTCTCTTGATCTTACCAGAACCCCACCCACATTTATAGAGGGGGTATGCGAGGGGAGAAAGAGAGAGGACATGTGTGTTGTACACAGGGTTACATTAGTCAAAACTGCAACCAAGTCCTCAAAAGTACCCCTTGTGACACAAAATTGCTGAATCCAAACAGCAATCTTTGAGTTGTTTGCCATTTAGCCCTTAAAAGAGCTGCTTTCCCTAGAGGCAATTTAGTATTTTTCTGTACACATAGTGTAAAACACTAGTAACACCTATTAACTGCAAAGAGGCTTAAAGAATGACGCATGTTGCTGGCATCATTGGTTCATGCCTCTAATCTTCTCTATGTAGGAGTATGAGAACCAGGGATCATGGTTCAAAGGCAGCACAGAAAAATCCACAAGACTAGCAAAAAACTAGCAAAAAGTGTCAGGTTATTAAGAAGAGACCTTCTGGACAGGGAGGAAATGGCTGGTTGTTACTTTAGAATGGTCATGCCCTAAAGAGAGAACCATTTTTCTTTTCTGTCAGTTTAAATATGATTCTGATTTTAATTGCACATTTTGTGTTACTTAGCATTTTTCTTAATCTATCAATTTAAAATGAATTCATTTGCTTCTCAAGGACTTTTCCATATGACACAAGCCATGTGGTGGCAAATTTTTACCATTGCCAACCATTTCTGTGAGTGCAGAAGACCATTTCCTGTTTAGCCAGAGAATACCAAAGTATTGCATGTTGCAGGACAAAGAATGAAGAGGAAACTGAGGACATGTTTGTCCTCCTTCCATATAGGTGTGTTCCAGGACAACCAGTCTACAGATTGGTTCAAAGCCACAGGGGCCTCAAACCTAAAAGTAAAGAGCTGCCTGCAAGATTTAGGAGTTTACTCATTGCGCTTTCTTCTTCTCTTCTGTCCAGTTTTTCTCTGGTAATGTAATTAGGTGGCCATAGTCATACCTGAATTTCTGGAATAGGAAAAAAAGGGTATAAAGATGAAAAAACAAAACTGGAAAAGTTGTAAAATATATCTTACATTAGAATGACTTCTTGCTCTTAAAGTAGGAAAATATGCCTATACAAATAGAATAATTCAGGACTTAATTTTAGAGAGACAAATGATATTTTATGCTATAGTCACATAGAAGTACAGCATAGCAGTATGGCCAGGAAGCCAATCACCATTGAAGTATTTAAATCTGACTAAAATTTAGTGGAAGGACATTTTGAAAACTAATAGAGTTAGAAAATTACAGATTTGGGGTATTTGTTACATAAATAGCACAGATGTTTATGGCATGCATTAAAAACTTCTTGCAGATTGACTTAATTTAAAAAAAATCTGGAATTTTCTAAATAAAACAGCAAAGCAGGTTTGTTGGTTGTTGGAAATCTCAAAGTTGCTACAAACTCTAAATAGAATTATTGCTTTTAAACATTTTTATGTTTGTAAGTAAAGTTTTTTTCAGTAGGGTTGTAACACTACTTCAATATTGAATTGTGCATTTCAATACAGGTGGTATCTATTTTGAGCTCTGCAATTGCAAAAAACACTTGACATTGTTCATTGGGCAGAAATGCA